TATTAAAAAAATTATCATTAAATTATTTAAATCAATAGTTATTAAAATTAAAATTAATGCGACAATGTTTTGGTGGGGTTTTCTTGCTTTAGAGTTAAAATTTTGGCAAATCATATGTTAAGCCCCTAAACTAATCCCAAATTCATTATTTTCCCTTAAACTTTAATTGATATATATATATAAACCCTTAAATTCCATGATATAAGCAATTTAACTCTTATTCTTACAGCAATTTAACCTTTATTCTTATGGTAGTTAAAGAATTAAGGGCTAAATTGCTCACATAGTAGAATCTAGGGGCTTATATTTATAAATTAAAGTCTGAGAGTTCAATAATAAATCTGAAATTAGTTCAGAGGCTTAAGATATGGTTTTGCCTAAAATTTTTTAACTTTAAAAGGAGGTTACGTTCTGAGATAGTGCTTTGGTGGATTTGTGATCAACAGATTTTTGAATTTTCAAATATGACAAACGTGCGTTATCTTGGGGTGAAAATTGAAGTACAGTAGCTGCCACGTGGAATTGTGGACAAGCAATATTAAGTTCTATCACAAGTTACTTAAAAGGATAAATCAATGTATGATAAGGAAAGATCGACCTTTAAATTTAATAATTTATTTTTAAAATTTAAGTGTTTGAGTGTAGTTTGTTGGGAGTTTGATTCTCACCAATTATTTGAAAAAAAAAATCCGCTTATGCCAAATTCTCCTATGTTCAAAAAAAAAAAAAAAAAGACTGAACAGGAAGGTGTAATAGAAGTCTTTCTCAATTATCTCACTAAGCACACATGGGCATGGTATCGCCCAGCAGATTAATTAATAGGATTTAAGTATCCTAAAGTGATGGTCTTAAACCTGTAAAGTGCTGCAAATTATGTTCAAATTTCAAAATCAGTTTAGGTAATGGGGAATATCCTGTCAATCAGAAAAAATACTAGTTAAGCAATTAATAATCCACCATATAGTTTTCAAGCACTAATCAAACACACCCTAAAGGCCAAAACAATACAACTGTTCATTTGGTGCCTGCGCATGATGTCAATTTTTAAAGAAATTTAAGCAGTTTGCGATGTCCAAAATCATGTTAGGTGATGGTATGGTACGTTCGTAAAGCTGGAAAATGTTGCAAATTATGTACAAATTCATGTTATGTGACGAGGAATCTCGTTAATTTCGAAACAAATTCCAAATTAATTAAGTAATCTAACAGCATCGATTAGTATGGATTTTAGCAAAGACAGATCTGAGTCCGAATCTCCACATATGCTCAACATTTTTTCTTTTTAATAAAAGACTATTCCCAATCTGATTGATACGTTTAGTTCAGTTAAGCATCTAACTTATATTTTTAGTTCCGAGTTAACATATCATCTAGTATTAGTGTTATAGGTATAATCCTTTAACAATGTGTTGTAAATTTTAATTAAAAATTGAAATGCATGTTAATGAGTATGTATTTTTAAAAGAGAAAAAATTAAATTTTTATTGCAATCGTTTATCACATTGATATATTTTTAAATCCATTCTACCATGGCTTTAATTCAATTAGCCATTCAAATTAATGTTTATATTTCAATTATAGGCGAACTATCCTATAAATAAGGAGTTCCTCCATTTCCTCAAATAAAATTTTCTACACTTTCATTTCTCTTATATATAGTGCCTTGTTCTCTCATATTCTTAATTATGCGAGAAAATATAGTAGTGTAGAGCTTACTTTATAAAAGTGTAGAGTTTGTAAAATCACAATGACAAATATTGGGCTATCATATCCTGATATAAAACATCACCCCTAATTTTTTATAATCACATTATTTCCATTATCCAAAAAAAAAATATGTTCTCTCAAAAACTACTGCACTAGTAACACAAGACATTCTAAAGAAATTGATTGATATACACTTCAACTCATCATTCTTAATTCATGGGAACATTATTTATAATATTATGATTCTCTTATTTACTTTATTTTGATACTAGTTTTTCATATTTTTGTCAGAAGGAACAGTGCTAATATGGTGAAAAGTGGAGAGGGAAGCCAATAAACAAATTTAATATGCAGCAGATATGAAGGTTAAAGTTCAAGGAACAACATAATGTATTGTGGGGGATTATATATAACTATGATTGTAATTTGATCCATTTTTCTCCTGCTTAATGTGAGCTTCGACTTCAAAGTCATGAATTCAATTCGATCACACAAATCGACTCCTATTTGCTTAAAAACTTCTAAATATTGTCATGAGTGAAGAGATCCAAACTGAACATAACAACACAAGATTATGGTAAATTCCAAATTTGTGTTAATTACAAACACAACAATAAAACATTTGATTTATTCCAAAACAAGCACACATGACAAACACTTGATTGCTCTCAGCACTCAAAGAACAATATTAAGCTTATTTTGACTCGGATTCAATTACCACATTAAACATCTTTGAAGTGGGAGCATTTGGTGTTATAAAGGAGAAGCGAAGAGCTAAATCGTAGCTCTGATGCTGCAATATCAAACTCCAGAAGATTATCCTCCAACTGATGTCCTCCTACGACGATAGAAGTTGTTGGCTTCGATCCTCCGTCCACAAATCCTAAGCACACCACATCTTTACTCACTCTCACTATCGAGTTAGTGTCATGAATCCTCCAATACACGCTTTCGCTTTGCAGAACCAGATCGATTACCGGTACATTTGATCCCGTTTTATAGCTATGGATAGTCTTTGAGTCGAAACACGCGCCGAACGGTTTCACTGGTGTCACGCTAGCAACCTTCTTTGATGCAGCACTCTTAACAAACTCCTTAACAAGAGCCTTGTAGATGTTGGTATGCAAAACGGTGTAAGGAGTTACTGTGCTGATTTTCGTCCCGCCGACTCCTTTCTTGTCAATGGACAACAATGAAGAATTGAATGGAACTGATTTTCCATCGATCTTGATGGATTTTACTCCAATGAAGTACTCATACGAAGCGTCACCTTCGTTGCGCACAGGAGCTGTGCTTACTGGGTTAACAATCAGCGGCGTAGAAACTAACAGCTTCGACACATCTTTGGGATAAGGAATCATATAGTATGGACCCCCACCAAAAACAATGCCTCCGAATCTTTCATGCCTCCCTGAGGAGGGAACGCAAAGAGCAAACTTACGAGGAAGGTTGAATGCCGAAAAGATCTGTGTTGGGAGAGAAACTGGAGTCTTTCCCAGGCCGACCATCCCTTGAGCACTTTTACAAAGGCCATAAAGCTGTTCTGGAATTCCACATGCTAAAGGGAAGTTGGACACCTTCCAAGATCTTGGTCCAAAAACAATGTTATCCTTCCCTATTCCTCCGGTTGCCACTGAGTTGTTGTATGGATTATATGGGAAGACACCACATGTGTTATTGGTGCATCCTGGGCGAAAGGCACCATCGCAGCCGGAGCAGAAAATGCTACCTCCAGCAGCACTGCATTCGTTTGTATGGCACTCAACAGCATGATAGGAGGATGACATGTAGCTACCATTGCAATTGAGCCACAGGAAAGGGCCTCCGAGATCGATGACTGCATTTGCCTTGTATGAGAAAGATCCAACATTGAATGTGGAGTAGTACTGAAGAGTTGCATCATCTTTCTTAACTGGAAGTATAAGCGGATTATAGGGCTTGGAAAATTTGACGTCAATTGCGTTTGTGGATGAAATAAATGCCAAGAAAAAGAGGGAGAGAAGAAAAGGTGAGGAACCCATTGGAGATTTGGTACGAGGTATGGAGATTTGGTACGAGGAAGAGAGCTCAGAAGCTAGTCATTTATAGAGTGGCTGAACTTTACAAAGTTTAATTTTAGGATATTGATCCGTAAACACTCAATTTAATTTATTGTATAATAAATTTATAAAACATTTATTATTTTTAAATTAAAATTAAAATTAAATAAATTTAAAAATATAATTACATATATACCGAATGTAA